ACCCAGCCTTCTCTTGAAGTCCCCCAAGGTAGGGAAGAGCACCACCTCCCTTGGAAGCCCATTCCAGATTTTGGCCACCTTTACCGTGAAGAAGTTTTTCCTGATGTCTAGCCTAAATCTGCTCTCTGTCAGTCTGTAACCATTGTTCCCTGTTACCCCAAGAGGTGCCCTGGTGAACAGAGCATCTCCAATCCCTTGCTGTGCCCCCCACCCCTTATGAATTTGTAGGCAGCCACAAGATCACCTCTCAGCCTTCTCTTGCGGAGGCTGAAGAGGTCCAGGTCCCTCAGTCTCTCCTCATAGGGCTTGTCCTGTAAGCCCCTAACCATATGAGTGGCCCTCCTCTGGACCTTCTTGAATCTATCACCATGTTTCTTGAAGTACGGCACCCAAAACTGGATGCAGTACTCCAACTGCAATCTGACCAATGCTGCATAGAGGGGAAGTATCACCTTCTTGGATCTGTTTGCCACGCATCTGCTAATGCATGATAAAGTGCAGTTAGCTTTGCTGATTTCATCACACTGACAACTCATGGTCATCTTGGAGTCCACTATGACTCCAGGATTCCTCTCCCCTTCTGTGCTACTGAGAGGGTCACTTCCCAGCCAGTAGGTGTGCTGGATATTTTTGTGCCTTAGGTCCAGCACTCTGTACTTGTCGTTGTTGTACTGCATCCTATTGTGTACTGCCCACTTTTCTAGCCTGTCCAGGTCTGCCTGCAGTCATTCCCTACCCCAGTGTGCACTTCACCCCACAATTTAGTATTGTCTGCAAACTTGGACAGAGTACACTTCACACCCACATCCAAGTCACTGATGAAGAGATTGAAGAGGACAGGTCCAAGGACTGAACCCTGCAGGACCCCACTACCCACATCCTTCCAGGTCAATACCAAGCCATCTACTACCACTCTCTGGGTGCAACCGCTAAGCCAATTTGCCACCCACTGGATCGTGTAAACATCTATGTCACAGCCTCTTAATTTATTTATGAGACTAGGATGAGATACCATATCGAAGGGCTTGCCAAAGTCCAAGAAAACGACATCCACTTCTACTCCTGCGCCTAAGCATTTTGTGACCCTGTCATAAAATGAAACCAGATTGGTTAGGCATGATCTACCTGCTACAAATCCATGCTGGTTTCCCCGCTGCATTATTTTTCCCACTGAACTCCCACAAATAGGATCCTTCATAATCTTTTCAAAGACCTTTCCAAGGATGGAGGTGAGCAGCTCACTTGCCCTGAGTTACCTCAATTGCTGCTTCAGGTACAAGCTACGGGGTTCACCCAGTAGCTCATGCAAATTCCTTCATGGCTCTGAGAGAGTTAACACAGGACTCTGCCTCTTCTGCTTGCTGGGGCCAGAGAGAAGCAGCAGCCATTAGAGCAAGGCATCTCTATGCTTGTATTAAGAAAATAAGAAAAATCAGCTTCCTAACTTCAGACACACAAATAAGAAAAATCAGCTTCCTAACTTCAGACACACAGCCCAATTTTGGGGAGCTGATTTGGGTAAGAAAGGCAAGGGTGTGGTTTAACATGTTATGAATGTGCCTCCTCATGCCCTGTTTTGGGGGGCTGGCTACTTTTCCTGTAACCATTTGCTTGGGGTGCTTTTTAAGAACAATTTAAATGACATAAGAGTTCCTCAACTGACTGGTGCAGCAGCATGGAGACCCTCTTCCCTCCCCTCCTGAGGTCACTGCTGCCCTGCTGGAGCTTCAGGACCTGCGTGGTTCCAGGACCCTGCTGGCTGGCTGGGCTTCCCGATGGCATGTGTGCTGCGGTGTTGGGCGAGCCCTGCACTCTGGCTGAAACTCTTCACACAGGTGCTGCACTCAAAGGGCTTGTCACCTGTATGGATCGCCAGCGCTGGACCAGGGCCGAGCTCTGGCTGAAGCTCCGCCCACACTCACTGCACGCATAAGGGCACTCCCCAGTGTGTACCCGCTGGTGCTGGGTGAGGGCTGAGCTGTCACTGAAGCTCTTGCTACAGACGCTGCAGCAGTAGGGCTTATGGCCTGTATGGATGCGGCAGTGGGTGGCCAGCTGTGGACTTTGCACAAAGCTCTTTCCACACTGACTGCAGCTGTAGGGCTTGAGCCCAGTGTGTATGCGGCGGTGTTGTGCCAAATGTGAGCTCTCACTAAAGCTCTTCCCACATTCTGGGCAGGCGTAGGGGCGCTCACCAGTGTGGAGGCGCCGGTGGGCTGCCAGAGTGGAGCTCTGGGTGAAGCGCTCACCACATTGGCTGCACTCAAAGGGGCGGTCCCCAGAGTGTGTGCGCAGATGCTGGGTCAGCACTGAGTTCTGTCGGAACCTCTTCCCGCACTCGGGGCACTGGTATGGCTTCTCCCCCGTGTGCATACGTCGGTGCTGGATGAGCCCTGAGCTATCAGCAAAGCCTTTTTTGCACTCAGAGCAGCGGTAAGGCCGCTCACCGCTGTGTACCCGCCGGTGGGTGGTGAGCTGCGAGCTGAAGCCAAAGCACTTGCCACAGTCTGGGCAGGGGTATGGCTTCTCTCCAGTGTGGACGTGCTGGTGCTGTGTCAGGGATGAGCCCCGGCTGAAGCTCTTCCCACAGTCCCCACACCAGAAGGGCTTCTCTCCACTGTGCACATCCTGGTGCCGCACCAGATTGCCCTTGCGGCTGAAATTCTTCCCGCACTCCAGGCAGCAGTAGGCATCCTCCCTGGCATGCACGCGCTGGTGCTTGGCCAGCTGGGCCTCCTGCTCAAAGTCCTTTCCACAATCGGGGCATGCATGCAGCTTCTCCCCATGGTGCACCTGCTGGTGTTCAGCCAGGTCAGCAGGGAGGTGGAAGCATCTCCGGCACTCCAGGCATCGGAATGGCCTCTCCTCTGCATGGACCCACTGGTGCCGGATGAGGTTAGAGCTGACGCCAAAGCGCCGGCCACACTGGGCGCACTGGTAGCGCTTCTCACCGCTGTGCACTCGCTGGTGGTTATACAACATGGAGCTCCGGCTGAAGCTCTTCCTGCAAACACGACAGGTGTGGGGCCCCAGCCCAGCATGCAGCCCTGGGTGCTTCATGCATGTTGAGCTGTCGGGGGAGCCCTCCGCAGAAGCAGTGCACGTGCAAGGTTTTTGCCCTGTGTGGATCTTCTGGTGCTGGGTGAGGTGCGAGCTCTGGTTGAAGCTCCTGCCACACTGGGAGCACTTGTATGGACGCTCCCCAGTGTGGATGCGCTGGTGGGTGATGAGAGTGGAGCTCACACTGAAGCTCTTGCCGCACTGGTGGCACTGGTATGGCTTTTCCCCTGTGTGGACCCGCTCATGCTTCACCAGCGCTGAATGGACACTGAAGCTCTTCTGGCACTCTGTGCATTGATACCGGTTCTCCTGCCCTGGTGGCCTCTGACAGTTGATGGAGCCTGTGTGCGCGTCCAGGCCCTTCTCAGGGTTTGTCTTGGGCAGAGGATTCTCCTCCTCATTTGCCATCATGATTTTGTCATCTAAGAAGAAAGAGCAAGTTGAATATTCAGACATGACACCCTAGAATTGAGGAGAAGAGTGAATCCCATAAATATTCTGCTAGGCCTGTGACCTCAAGCTTAGCATCCCACCTCAGGAAAATCCTTCCCCAGAAAGGCACAAGGGATGGGGATTGGGTGAAAGAAACAGAGGTTTGGAAAAGGACATAGATGAAAAAGAGAGTAGGTAGGTGGCAGGAGAGACTGAGAAGAAAACAGACAGCACCATCTCCCATGCTATCCTTTCAAATTTTTGACAGACATTTATAGCAGAAACACTGTTCTTCAAAAGGCACCTCAAATGCTGCCAGTATGTAGTAAAAGGACTTGACAGGCAAACAAGGAAACAAGATCACCTCTCAAAAAAATCTGGAAAAAAATCTAGGGACTTTAAAATTGCATTCTTGAGCATGGGAAACATTTTGAAAATGCAGCCTGGCCTTCTAATTCAAACAGTATCATCTGAATACTGGGTAGAAGTGAGATTAGAGGTTTTTTGTAAGATATCTGAACTTCATTCTAAGTAGAAAACCAAGTATTACCATACTTTGCTACTACTAGCATACTAGGAAGTCTCTGTAATGATTATCTGGCATGCACAACCAGAAGATATTGATCAAGATAGTGAACAACAACAGCAAAACAGTCAAAAGTTAATCTCCTAAATTCCCACTAGAACACTGAAGTGTGAAAATTTATCAAGCACCCAAATGGTCTGGGAACAAAAATGTCATTGGGAACTTGTGCTTGTATATCATTCTCCTAAATTTAGGAGCCTATACTAAGGCTCCTAGGGTGTCATTACATGTGCTCTGGGGTGGGGGTGGACACTCCTGAGAACCACCCTAATTAAAGAACCTGTAGTGTCTCATGTACTCAGTGTCCCATGCTTCAAAATGGCAGCAGGGACACTTTAACTAATTAGCATGCCCCGGCAGACTTGATTAATTGAGTTTATAGGCACCCCTAGATTTGAAATTCTGGGCCAAGATTTGAAATTCTTGTTCTAACATTCAGAACATTAATATGATCGTCAGGAAATACCTTGGATTTTATTTCAGTAAGTACAGCCAAGAAGTGAGTGCTCAGTATCACAATGGATAGGTGATACTTTCTGTGACATTAACAACGTGCCTCTGCTCTTGCACAGATGAGTCTAGGGGAGCACATGACAGCTGTGTTGAAATTTTAGGTTGGTACCAAGTTAACCATATGAGCTGATTTTAAAATGATCTTTACCTGTACAGGTGGTTCTCAGGGTCTCCCTTTTCTCAGGGCTCTGCAAATCAAAGGCAAGTGGTTCTTTTTGTTCCATCTGAGAAGTCACTTCACCCCAACCAGTCAAACATCTTGGTCCTGGAAAAGAAGAGGGAAGTAAATTATCTTAAAAAGTTACATGCACTTGACAAAAGAAAGTGACGTTACTCAAAACACTCAGAGAGGAAAACCTATGTTTAACCTTAGAATTTTTCACTCTGATGCTGCTGCCTTCATGTGTCCACTTCCTGAGGAAAGATTCATGAGAGAGCAAAGACATTTTGGGCCCAAGGCTGCAAGGGGATCCATACTGAAGGACTGCAGAAAGTGCTAGTATCATAGTCAGGATTCCATGTGGGCAGAAGGATTCATTCTGGCAAGACATTCATGAAAGTCAGATCCTCCACTTAAACTGAAATCAGTGACAGCTCCTTTTGGCCGATGGTACAGGAATGCAAGCTTTTAGGGGCAGGCACCTATCTTTTATGCATTACTACGAAATGTCCAACCCACAACAGGACAACTAGATTCTTGTTGTTATAAAACAATACCCAAACAGAAAAGTATCTGAAGAAATACAAGAGGCCAGAGGCCAAAACTAGATGGAAATCAAACTCAGGCACTGCATCTTGGAGTCATTTTAGATAGTTCTCCAAAAATATCAGCTGAATGTGCAGCAGTGGCCAAAAAAGCCAATAAAATTTTGGACATCATTAAGAAAGGAATTGAAAACAAAACGGAAAACATCATGCCATTATACAAATCCATGGTGTTTACGTCTTGAACACCATGTGCAGTGCTGATCCTTGCATCTCAAAAATGATGTAGTAGAAATAGAAAAAGTACAGAGAAGGGCACCAAAATGATGAGAGGCCTAGAGCAGTTTCCATACCAGAAAAGACTAAAAAGGAAAGGGCTCTTCAATTTGGAAAGAAGGCTGAAGGCAGATACAATAGAGGTCTATAAAATTATGAAGGTGTGGACCAAGTTGTTTCACCAAATCCTGGAATATTAGAACTATGGGTACAATGGGACACCTGCTGAAATTAGTAGATGACAAGTTGAAAACTAACAAGAAAAAGTACTTTTTTATGCAACATGTAGTTAACTTGTGAAATTCACTGCCCCAGGAGGTGGTAGAGGCTGATAGCACAGCCAGGTTCAAAAAGGAACTGGATAAATTCATGGATGATTGATCTATTAATGGCAATTGAACAGAGCAGTTGGAGATGTTTCCTTTGGCATCTCTAAACCAATAATAATGGATGCCAAATATCCCCCATGGGTAGCCGTGGGCCAGATGGCCCGGGGCTGTGGGCTGTGTCTGGCCCACGGGCTGGAGGTTGATTTCCCCCCCTGCTCTAGGAAAATCCAGTTCAAAGCTGTCCCCCTACAGCCGTGGTAACCAACTGGTGGATCTTGATCCACCAGTAGATCTTGGAGCCTCTTGGGGTCAATCCTAGGTTGGGGTGAGGGGCTGAGTACCTGTGTGCCCCAGCTCAGCAGGTCCGTGAGGGAGGGAAGGGACAGGGGGTAGATTGAGGCCCTCGTGGTGAGGGACAGTGCCACAGAAGCAGGAACAGGGGTAAATTGAGTGCGGCCCCGGCTGAGTGGGACTGACCTGCGGGGCACGCGTGCCCCCAAATAATATTTTCTTCCTTTGCCTTGGTCTGCGCCTCCTTCCCTCCCCACAGATTTACCTGCTGGAGTGGGGGAGCGGGGTGGCAGCAGTGGCACACAGTAGATCTTGGGATGCTTTTAAATGCCAAAGGTGATCTCCTGCTTAAAAAGGTTGGAGACCACTGCTCTACGGCATCCGTCCTTGTGCCCCTTTTTAATGCTGTGGATTTGAAATCTCTGGGTTCATCTTCTGAATTGTGTCTGTACGCCCAGCACCATGAATGCCATGTGCCTCTGGAGGCTGTAGGGGCACGGTGAGCTCCTGCAGGCAGTGCAGTTGGCAGTGGGAGCGTGGTGGCGGCAAGCGGGGACCTCCTGCAGGCAGCCGCAGCGCTGTCAGCGGTGGGGGTGGTGAGTGCTGAGCAGCAGTCGGCGACCACCCGCAGATGCTGCCAGCGGTGTTGGCAGGAGGGGGGTGTTGGCGAGCAGCACCACCCACAGGTGCTGCTGGCAGTGTCAGCAGCGCCTTTTTGCAGGGGGCGCACCACCATGCTCAGGGCTCACCGCCTACATGTTGCCTATGCCCAGTGCCATGGGGCACAGTGGGGCACCCTTGAAAGTGTCTCAAGCCCTCCCTCCGCGGCACCCTGGTTGAGGGGGACTCTGGTTGAGAATCACCAGTGCCTGGCTGGGGCCTAGGCTACACACAAGTTTAGTGCCGGCACAGCTGTTCGGTTAAAAAACCCATGCGGCTCCTCAGGCAAGCAGCAGTGAGCTGGGCACTACCCCAGGCAGGGCCACTCCCAGGCAGGAAAAAAGCAACAGCAGCCCTGGAAGGGGAGCAGCCGGGCCGCAAGGCCAGAAGCCGAGAGCCCGGCCCGAGGCCGGGGAGCGGAGGG